TTCCTGTTATACAAAGTCACCCAACATCCCAAGACCCTGTAATAAGCTTTCTGTATAAGGCCTATTACCTACCCTTCAGTTCCCATTATAAGAAGGTATCTAATTCTTATCAAATTCAGGGATGCTCAGAAGCTCCGCAGTGAAACTGAAGGAAGATGCTTCTGCTGACAATAGTACCATAAAATCATAGAATCATTTAGGTTGGAAAAGACCTTTAAGATCATCCAGTCCAACCATTAACCTAACATTACCAAGTCCACCACTAAACCAATCAAGGGTAGACTAGACTAAACCATGTCCCAAAGTGCCACATCTACCCGTTTTTTGAATGCTTCCAGGGATGGTGACTCCACCACCTCTCTGGGCAGCCTCTTCCAATGCTTGACTACCCTTTCGGTGACGAAATTTTTCCTAATATCCAACCTAAACCTCGCCTAGCGCAGGTTGAGCCCATTTCCTCTCGTCCTATTGCTAACTACTTGGGAGAAGAGACCAACACCCACCTCACTACAACCTCCTTTCAGGGAGTTGTAGAGAGCGATAAGGTCTCCCCTCAGCCTCCTCTTCTCCAGGCTAAACAACCCCAGTTCCCTCAGCTGCTCCTCATAAGGCCTGTGCTCCAGACCCTTCACCAGCTTTGTTGCCCTTCTCTGGACACGCTCCAGCACCTCAATGTCTTTCTTGTATTGAGGGGCCCAAAACTGGACACAGTATTCCAGGTGCGGCCTCACCAGCGCCGAGTACAGGGGGACAATCACTTCCCTGCTCCTGCTGGCCACACTATTCCTGATACAAACCAGGATGCTGTTGGCCTTCTTGGCCACCTGTGCACACTGCTGGCTCATGTTCAGCCGGCTGTCAACCAACACCCCCAGGTCCTTTTCTGCTGGGCATCTTTCCAGCCACTCTTCCCCAAGTGTGTAGCGTTGCATGGGGTTGTTGTGACCGAAGTGCAGGACCTGGCACTTGGCCCTGTTGAACCTCATACAGTTGGCCTCGGCCCATCAATCCAGCCTGCCCAGGTCCCTCTGCCCTTCCTACCTTCAAGCAGATCAACACTCCCACCCGACTTGGTGTCATCTGCAAACTTACTGAGGGTGCACTCAATCCCCTCATCCAGATCTTTGATACAGATATGAAACAGAACTGGCCCCAGTACTGGGCCCTGGGGAACACCGCTTGTGACCTGTTGCCAACTGCATTTAACTCCATTCACCACAACTCTCTGGGCTCAGCCATCCACCCAGTTTTTTACTCAGCGAAGAGTAAGCCTGTCCAAGCCATGAGCTGCCAGCTTCCCAAGGAGAATGCTATGAGAGACTGTGTCAAAGGCTTTGCTAAAGTCCAGGTAGATGACGTCCACAGCCTTTCCTTCATCCACCAGGTGGGTCACCAGGTCATAGAAGGAGATCAGGTTGGTCAAGCAGGACCTGCCTTTCATGAACCCATGCTGGCTGGGCCTGATCCCCAGTTGACCTGCACTTGCCTGTTGAGTTCACTCAAGATGAACCTCTCCATAATCTTTCCTGGCACCGAGGTCAGGCTGACAGGCCTGTAGTTCCCTGGGTCCTCCTTCTGGCCCTTCTTATAGATGGGTGTCACATTGGCAACCCAAGTATCAGGAAATAGTTATCATTTTTATGCCTACAGCATAAAGTCTGGCAGCATTAAAGAAGCTAAACCTGTTCCAATACTCACCATAGTGAATTGAGAATGCACGTTATTTTTGTTACCATATTTGTGAAAGTAATACCATATTTCCATCACCACAATTTTGCTCTCCTGATTGGGAATCAGACTCTTACTCGGACCACTCTCTTACCTGCCTTATTATCTGCTAAGAAATTTTCTGTAATCCCCTACCCACTTAGTAAAATAAGTGCTCTGCAGACTGCAGGGTGCCTGCAGGATGATGACAGAGAAGCCCATACACCAGGCACACTTAACACGGGTAGGATCTTGTGCAAAGACCAGCAGCTTAGCAGGCATGGTAACATCTCCATGGGATTAGCTTGGCATACCTCCACACCAGTGAGGCTACCTGGTTTTAGCATACAGCTAGTGTGGGGTACAAAAGTCTGTCTATGTTGGTCAAGCACACACCCCTAGGGAATCAGCACCCTTAATACTGGGTTTTTCTCCCAGATCAGAGCATGCCACCTTTGAAAGTATCATGGAGGAAAGCCATCTGCTGCTAAGAAAAGCTGAGGTGCTGTCTTCATTTGCACAGATGAGGGTAATGACTCCTTAACAACTCTGTCACACTTCTCAGATAAAGTTTGTTGTAGTTGCAAACTTTAATACTCAGCTAGGACTAGGTAATATTTTCAAGTACATCAATTACTTGCTGAAAAATCTGGTTTTGATCAACACAAAACTATTCATAATGTTGAACTGAAACTTTCCTACTTTCCATAAAATACTAATACACACAATGACCAAAAATGGTTCCAGTGTCAAATTCAATGAAAATGTAGTTACCCCATACAAAGCAGAGCTGCATCAGCAGGACAGATTCAGGAAACTGCTTTCAAAACACTATTGCAGTGGCTAAAAAATAACTTAATATTTGGTAGTATAGGTTCAAATTCCTTCAGGTAGAAGAGGTTATTAAAGACCTCTCCAACACGTTAGGTGTTTAAAGCACTGTAGCTATACCCTTCTCTTTTGCATATAATGCATTAACTCTGGTTCATTAGGAAAGAGATCCAAAATAGAATGAAAACAAGCATGTTATCATTTCAGTCATTCATTTAGAGTTATTTAAAGTTAATGGATTTACATGCTTATATTAATGTAAATGTATCTTTATTCATTCCAACCTAAAAAAAGAAAAATCCATTCTTCACATATGCTGATACATTTTATTAGTAAGAGCCAGGATAGCTAGCAGTTTCACTAAAAGCCTGACTGATCCATTCAAATTGATTAGTGTAGCCTTTGGGATTATTTTTAGAAATTACAGTTATTATAGTAAATAAATGAATACAGACATTCTATCGTGAAAGCATGTCTAACTGAACTTAAAAGTTCAGCAATGCTTTATAAAGGTAGGTATTACTAGCCTGCAGATACTACACTGAGGCACTTCGTTGATTTAAAACATAGGTATATACTTAGAAGTGTAAACTTCTTAGAAGTAAACTCAGATGTTATTTTTACAACTCTTATGCCCTTTTTTAAAAACAGCATACGCAAGTCCTAAAGAAACTCTGCAGCTTACTCACATAATTACTAAGCCCCCATAATGAAGAATAAAATAAGTCCTTAAATATTTACTACTTCTTGCAGAAAAATCTTAACTTTCAACGGGTATTATTAAAGTTCCCTGAAAACTTGCTCCTTTTGCAGTTAAAGGCCTGCAAGTTAGCACTGACTTAAGCCTTCGTCTGGAACACAGAACTGTTCATAACTATGCTGGGAACATCCTACCAGTACAGTGAAGCCAGTACAGAATATACAGTAATAAAATGTATTAAAGCACAACAGTGAAAGAAAATAAACAACCATGCTTTGCAGTGCCAGAATAACACTAACATCAAGTTATTCAGTCATAACAGTAAAAATATAGTGTTGCCAATGAAGCTTATACATACATATTTTGGGGCTTCAACTGACAACGATACCACCTACAGATTACACTTTTTCACTCACTGCCTAAATTATACCAGTAAAAGCTTAACGTGTAGCACTGCTGTAAAGATGCAGTTAATTTCACGTGTGAGCAGCTCTAATGAAGGAATTACTTGTACGCAAAAAAATTGAGCATAAACGAAGGCCTTTGTGAGTAACCGTATTGTATTTTGAATTTCATTCCATTTATTTTTATTAGAGACTTTAATATTTGTTTTAAACTTCTTAGACTATAAAAGCTCTCTAAATCACTCTGGCATTTAATCATGCTAATTGTTACTATGTAGTATTAATGACCGCATGTAACAATTACATTTGAAATCTGAATGCAAAAATACATGCAAGTAATTCATTAGCTTTTCTTTCCTCTCAAAAAAATAAAAAAAAAAATTGTTCCTTATACAAAACAAAACCAACAAAAACCACCCATCCCAAAAGAACCCAGCCACTTTTACACCTTCTACACAAAATTCCAGAAGACATCCATTATTTTAATCACTATTTAAAAATCTTCTGCGGTGAACACAATGATTCTACAAATAGGTCATATACAAAGCAGTACAGAATTTGACCTGGAAAGTGGAGACTAGAACAAAAAGATCCTAATCCAAATAAGTGCTGCTGCACCTGCTGCTATTTAAACAAAATAGAAAAGAACAAATAGTGTTCTTGAACAATGGGGAAACTGATCTCCTAATAAAGTACAGTTGCCTACCCATAACTGCAAAGGACAAACAGGAATAGGTTTTTCAGGATTGCAAGATTACAGTGCAAGCTCTTTTGAATTTATCACAGTAATGGTGGAATACAAAACAAACATATGCAGGCTTTGAAACCACCTATTAAAACTGTCACTTCTCATCTTAATTAAGCATAATAAATCAAAACAGCTACAAAGCAGATTCTCACATTGCCTGAATCTGCAAGAATCTGTTTTTCAGCAGAAATACTATTACAGTAGTTGAGGTTCTGGCTTGAAATTCTTATAAAAAAAGTATTATATATGGTTAACAAAACATTTTCCAGACTGTTTTGTTCTCCATAATCTTATGAATTCTTTTCAATTATAAAAGTATAAAATATTCAATAGAATCCATCTGTTCGACTGGAATACTTTGCATTGGCAGTTATGACATGAAAATAACAGCAGAAGCAAGTAATTTGCAGATCTTACTTTTCCAAATTCCTAATCTATAGTTTAATAGTCTGATATATTTAAGACAAGCCATCTATTAATTTTTCTCCTCTTAAGATTACCTACCAATTATATTACTTTACAACCAGCCTATATATATATATATATAAGGCAAGAACAAGAACGCTACAGAAATAACATAAAATAAACACAATACTTATAATGACCATACCTAGTAATAAGAACCGCATTATCATGGTGGGCAATCCCATTTTCTGGAATGGTGTTTCCATCACTTTGGTGGGAGAGAATGGATTTCTGCCACTTACAGAAGCTATCGAGGGACTTGTCTGCATGGTGGTTTATCTCCAAGTTTGGCTGCAATACAACATGCATACCAGAAATGTTCCAAACAAATTACTAAGGTCAGTTGTTAAGCCTTTTGAAAACTAAAATGGGACTATAATTAGAAGCAGTGGTTTCTAGGAATAAACTCTTCTTGCCAAATTTTATCTCTGTAAAATCTGACCCCAAGTTCAGTTGTGTATTACTGAACAGGCATTCTTTCTGCTCCAACTTTAATAATGATTATGTCAATACATAGAAATCAGAATATCAAAATATAGACCTAAAAATAGAACTGACATCCCCAAAGGTGTATTAATGTTCACCTGAAGTAAGAACAGATATCTTTTGAGATGATACATGAGGAATATTCCTTTGAACCGTTTCATCTTGATTAAAGTAGTGAAAGATTACAAGATAGGTTTTGTACTCAGATGCAGCCATTTCAAGCAATAATTAAATGAAATCTATATTACGCAATAAAGCAACTTGTATTTCTGGGATATAAAGCTTAGCACAACAGCTCTTACCTGATCTTCAGTGAGGACAATTAAACGTGTCACTATAATATTCACAACGTTTCCTAGACTGGAATCACGATAAAGTTTGGCAACCTGACCTCCAGAAAATAAGAAAAGGCACAAAGTCAGACAAGAAACACTACTTGTTTCCTAAGTGGTTAAAAATTAACCTAGTTTCTCGCTCAATGTAGTTTCATAATGCTAATTATCATTATCACCTAAATAAAAGTTCGTTTTGGACCAAAAAATGACCAGTAAAACAAACTTCTTTGTCACACTTTTCAATCAATCAAAACTGTTTATACCTTGTTTCATAATTCATCCAGCACAAGGAGCATTTAGACTGTTGACTTAAACAGAATAGAACTGTAGAATCTAAATGTAATCACATGAATTTAAAATTAAAGACAAACAATTTAAAAGTGATCACAGCATACTTGACAGAAACAGTATCGCATTTTTCCCATGATGCTAACATTTGCCATATTATTAACTATTTTATATATAACTATTAATTATTAATTAACTATTAATTCCTGCAAGCTGATACGTATTTTAAAGCATAATTCATGCTAATAAATAAATACTTTACAGTTGCTTTATCATTTCAGTACATGCATATTTATGTGAACACAGAGAGGGATGAAACTTACAATATTCATTACACTCAAAATGTAGTGTTCAATGTCTTTGCGACCATGGTATCCCACCATCATTTTGTCTGCCACTACCAGCGTTTCCACAAACCGTTCAAGGCTTACTGATCTCTTCTGTCGACTATGACTACTTAATGTGTCATTGACTGGAAGTGAAGTTGGAAAAGCAGAGGCATCACTCATCCACCAAGGTCTACTGCTTCTTGTGAGGTCTTCTAGGAACCAAAATAATTAAACACTTCAGAGGGGTCACTAATAAAACTCATACAAAATGCATCCATTTTATGTTGAGAGTACCATCTTCAAGCTTCTAAAAGGAAGTCTTTCTTGAGGCAAAGAAAAAAAAATTTTTTTTTTTTTTAAATTTTAAAATACCTTATATAATGGAAAACCGACTTTGAGTTCTAATAGTCTCAATTCTCGTTAACTTGACTTAGGATAATAAACCATCAATCTTCTCTTAATGGACCTGATTCTGCACACCTATGTTAATACTAAAGATTAGTTATAATTAACCACAAGCACACCTCCAAATTTTAAGGATAAGAACAAGACAGCTATAACATTTGGAAAAAACATACCGGAAAACAAAAATTTAAAATTAAGGTAAAAGGTATCAAAATATACTAAGGAATTAAACACACTGATAAGGCACCAAAAGAGTTTTTTCCCTCTTGTGAAACTCTGTAATTATTAGGCAATTATGCTTATATGCTTAATAGTTTTCGGGCCAAATAAATTAATTTTCTCTTCAGAAAGCTATCAGATTATGTTTTATCTACCTTGCAAATTAACTATAATAGGAAGTTTAAAATAGCCTGACATGGGATAATTGCTGTAGTTATTTTTAAGTCCAATTTTAACTCAAATATGTTGATTCTTGTACTTGTTTCACATAAATATATAGAAAAAATATTTCTTGTATGAAAAAGATTGATTATTAAAATCCAGCTGTAATTATCAGCAAAACAAACACTACAAACTTACTTTGAATTTGAATTCGAATTCCTGTCCTCAGGACAAAATTGAACCCGCCCTTCCCTGCAAAAGTGGCATTGTTGTGTATATTAAATATCCCTTTTCCACCAAGGCCCACACAGATCTCAACCTTAAGTTTATCAAAGTATATTGTCTGGTTTTACCTAAGTAGGATTTTAAAATATCTAAGGTGTTCCTTCTAGTTGTGGATGAACAGAAGAACGTTAACAATTACGATACATTTATAATTTGTACAGGACTGCTCAAGTGACCAATTTCTAAGATGCATCCTTACCTCTACTAAAATGGGTTCAGCTAAGGACAAGTTGAGATAGGACCAGTACCTTCCATGAAAAAGCAATGCTTCATGCAATTCAGCTAAGCACACTATTTTCAAAGAGCAATAACTATACCACAAAGAATGTATGTTCAGGTCAAAACCAGGAATACAAAGCTTCAGCATTCCCACTGTTGCATTGTTCCATAATTTCTGAGGCCACAGCATTGGCTTTAAAAGGTGCATATTTTAGAAAAGTTAAAAAAAGTAAAAAAAAAAAAAAAAAAAAAAAGAGAATGAACCTGGTAGCTGAAAAATGCCAGTAACAAAACTGTCCTCATTCTGCAATGGGTATAATCCATTCTAAAAAACTGTATCAAGTGTTAAAGCCTGTTGAAAATTCTATAATGAATAATAAGCTTTTTCCTGATTTTCCTCTCTATTCTATGAAATTCAAAGTTGCTTTAATTGTTCAAAGATTTTCATCTCACTTAAGCAGTGATTTAGGAATGTCTGGAATTTTCTCTGACAGCTTCTGTACTAACATTTTACAAAAATTCACTCTTCATTTTCATATAATAAATGGTGACATTTGACGGTTTCTGGTGTTCTTAGAGTGCTAGAATTACTTTAGAAATGCAATACTGCTTCCACATTCATTCATAGTTTTTCACTCAAAGGTGCAAACCTATTCTAAACATTTGAAAACTGATGAGCTCACACAGAAAACTTTCAGAGAAAAAAAGAATATATTCTTTTGGTCTCATCTTGATAGCATCTTTCAAATGAAGGTCCCAGAAGACTTCACAAAACCAAACATTTCTCCTTTTCTTACCAGATGAGAAGCTTAGGCTTTAGCTGGTCTCTAAGCAATGGGAAAGCTGGAAAAAATCCTGAGTACTTAGGCTCACACTCCAGAATCTATCAATGCTTATGCTGTTCTCCTTTAAAAACACTAAATAATGCTGACTGAATTTTCTTAAAAAAGCTAAAACATGTCAATAAAATTTTGCAATATATTTAACAAAAACAGCTCTGTGGCAAGTTATGTTATCTTTCCACCATATTCCTAGATTAAAAAAGAAAAAAAAATTAAACTTCGTGAACATCGAAAATAGCTACTGGAAAGTAAAAAAAGCAAAAATGGAAAGAAAAAAAAAAACACAGAAAAAAACCTGTAATTAACCCCAAAATACTGATTACAAAAGCAGGGAATTAGGTTTTAAATTGCAACTGAAAAGAAATCCAAACATGTGTAGACATGGAGTTCACAACTATAGTACCCAAGTTTTCCTAAGTCAGTCCTCTGAAGATGTTAGGTGGGGGTGAAGGTGGAGAGAGAGGAGAGGGAGAGAACACAAACACAAACAGATCTCACAATGCAATAAAAAGCTACTTATGTAAGATGCAACTATGAGAGTATTTTGAAGTGAAGCATTATGTGCTGCTTTTTCTTACTATTTTATCATCATCATTTAATGCATATACAAGTATTTTTTCATTTTCCAGGTCTTCAAGGAATTAGTCCTTGGGACTTTTCCCTTGGGAAACTGCCCTCACGAACAACAGAGCACAACAGAGCTGGCAGATATTTCAGGGCGCTTTCCATAGAGTACAAGAGCTCTCGATTCCCAGGTGCAAGAAATCAGAGAAGGAAGGCAAGAGACCAGCATGGATGAGTCAAGAACCGCTGGTCAAACTAAAGGGCAGGAAAGAACTGCACAGGCAGTGGAAGCAGGGACAGGTACCTTGGGAAGAGTATAGGGACGCTGCCTGGTTGTATAGGGATGAGGTCAGGAACGCCAAGGCACGGCTGGAGCTGAACTTGGCAAGGGATGCAAAGAATAACAAGAAGGGCTTCTACAGGTATGTCAGCCAGAAAAGGAAGGTCAAAGACAATGTTCCCCCCTGATGAGTAAGACTGGCAAACCGGTAACAACGGATGAGGAGAAGGCTGAGGTACCTAACAACTTCTTTGCCTCAGTCTTCACTGGCAACCTCTCTTCCCACACCTCTTGAGTGGATGGACCACAAGGCGGACATTGGGAGAGTCCCTCCCACTATAAAAGATCAGGTTTGTGACCACCTGAGGAACCTGAACATACATAAGTCTATGGGACCTGATGAGATGCATCCCAGAGTCCTGAGGGAATTGGCTGATGTAGTTGCCAAGCCACTCTCCATGACATTTGAAAAGTCATGGCCGTCAGGTGAAGTCCCCAGTGACTGGAAGAAGGGGAGTGTTGTGCCCATTTTTAAAAAGGGAAGAAAGGAGGACCCTGGGAACTACTGACCTGTGAGCCTCACCTCTATGCCTGGGAAGATCATGGAGCAGATCCTCCTAGAAGCTATGCTAAGGCACATGGAGGACAGGGAGGTGATTCGAGACAGCCAGCATGGCTTCACCAAGGGCAAGTCCTGCCTGACCAACCTAGTGGCCTTCTACAATGGAGTGACTACATCGGTGGACAAGGGAAGAGCTATGGCTGCCATCTATCTGGACTTCTGTGAGGCCTTTCACATGGTGCCCACAACATCCCTCTAAATCTAACATCCTCTAAATTGGAGAGATACGGATTTGATAGGTGGACTGTTCAGTGGATGAGGAATTGGTTGCATGGTCGCATCCAGAAGGTAGTGGTCAACGGCTCGATGTCCAAATGGAGACCAGTGACAAGTGGTGTCCCTCAGGGGTCTGTGCTGGGACCAGTGCTGTTTAACATCTTCATCAATGACATAGACAGTGGGATCGAGTGCACCCTCAGCAAGTCTGCAGAT